TTGCTAAAACATTCTTCAAGCAAGCAAAATTATGCCTCTATACATGGTCATAACCAGATGGAGCACACACATACAAAAATGACTATATTATTGGCACAAGGAGGTGAAACAGCTCAGCTATAACAGCAACGACGTGGCCAGGGGCTGATTGTGGAATGTGAGCAAGTTCCAAATCAAGCTAAAGCAGAAGAAAGCCAACCAGTTTCCACAATATGATTTTGAGCATATACAAACTGTTTTCCAGAAGAACATCGGTAATCCGCTTGAAATCCTGAACCTCTGATAGGGTACCAGAGGAAAGAAATAAAACAAATTGTTGTTAAGGATGAATGTGAAAAGAGACTGCCAAAGATCAGAAGCAGAAGAAAGGAAACTCTATGTCACAACAAACCATGGAAATTGACGAGAAGAGAAGAGAAGCCAAAGCCAAGAAAGACAATTATCTCAGGAGGGAATTTAACAAACAACTTCAGAGAGCTGTTAGAAGAGACAAGTGGCCATATTATAACAACATCTAAAAAGACACTGAAGAGAGAAACAGACATGGAAAACTAGCAAAGTTTTCCATGAACTCAGAAGGAAGTTCCAACCCAAACTGATATACTAAAGGATGCCAATGGACAGAAAGTAACTGATTCAAAGAAGATGAAAAGGAAAATAATGAAATTTGTATAGTAGAAATGTCAATATCCAAGATACTTTGGAAGATATTCTCTATTTAAAATAAACTTTACTATTAGCAGATGAAGTTAGTCAGTACTCCAGTGATTACCAAGTCAGAAGGTTACAGTAATTGATAAATAAATAAAGTATCTACAAAAATATGCCAAGCAAGAGAAGAATCAGTAAAGGTTCTAACCAAATCAAGCCAGCAAATCACACAATGACCAACAGATTGGAGGAGGTCAGTTTATATACAAATATCAGTACTAAAAAAGAAGCGTTACAGAGTGTACAGACTTTCCCACAATATCCTTAATTTCACATGCTAGCAAAATAATGCTTAGGGTTATCCAATGCAGATTAGAATCCTATAGTGGAAGGGAAATGTACAATGTTCAAACTAGTTTTTAGAAAAGGCAGAGGAACAAGAGACATTGCTGATGCATACTAAATAATTATAATAGAGAAAGCCAAATTTATTTATTTATTTATTTATTAAATTTGTCCCCCGCCCATTTCGCCCCAATGGGGGATTCTACAAATATACAAATAATATTTCCAAAGTATCTTGGATATTGATATTTCCATTAAACAAATATACAATATACTACAATATTTGTATATACAAATATACAAATAATACCAAAAAGCTGCCCAGAGTCACCCATTGGGGGAGATGGGCAGCATACAAATTTAATAATAAATAAATAAAATAAAAACAAAATATTGATTTTGTCAACATATATTATGGCCATTGAATACCTTCTCCAATGCCATATTTGTACTTCTCTATATTGGGCCTCCCTGTCCATGAACAAGCAAATTTTCTATATCCAGTTAGGCTGTACAAGTAAACTCAAGACACTCCTGGTAAATTTTCCAGTGGTTAAACCTATATCTTTGATAAGGGACTTATTTTGTCTCTATAGATATATTCCAGTTTGCAGCCCATGTATTTTATTGCACAGAGTTTAAAGGAAACTGTTAAAGTTATCAATATTTCAATACTTCTCCATCAATCCATCCCTCTCAACATTCCGCAAGCCCCTCAAGACCTGGCTGTGTTATCAAGACTGGAGGTCCCAGGGGACTGGGGAGAGTTTCTGATGGCTCCCTTACTGTGGTTAATATCAACCTCTCTGTTCTGTGCGCTTTTTATAGTTATTTTTTAATTGTGACTGTTTTTATATATTTATGTTTTTAATTAAGTATTGTACGCCGCCAAGAGACATTTTTATGTGATGGCTATATAAATATGATAAATAAATAAAAATAAATAAAATATTGTCCTCTCTTTTGTTTATGCAGAATTGTAGAAACTCAATGTGTGGTGTAATTTCAAGCTTTTAATGGCTGGATCAGTATACTCCCTTCAGTATGATTCAAAACTGACTTGGTGTTTTCAGCATTTCAATACTCAGGAGAAGAAGAAAAAAGTCTTTTTGTTAAAACTCTGTTCTGACTGAATATTGTCTATATATGTTGATTGTGCTTCATATATGCATCTTATAAAAACATAGAAAACTGCTTCATGGTGAATTAGGTTATTGATCCATCTAGTAGTTGCTAAAAAGACAAATACTATTTTGGGAGATATTAACAGGAACACAAACAAACTGGAGCAAGTTCAGAGAAGGTGTACCAAAATAGTGAGAGGAATGGTTAAAGGTCCTGGGTATGTTTACCCTGCAGACTGAGGAGAACTATGGTAGTGATCTTCAGATATCTAAAGTTTGTCATATAGAGAAGGGAGTAATTGGTGGGTAAGACCAGGGCTAACAGGTTGTAATAGCAGTGAAGTAGCTTCAGATTAGGTATTAGAAGGAATTTCCTGATGGTAAGAGTTGTCAACCAGTAGAATAGGATCCCTCATGTATCTAATGAAGTCAGTGAGGCCATTAAGGTGTAAATATGAAATAATGGGACAGGACTATAAAAACAATGTGGTTTTTAAAGAACGAAGAGGCAGTTTCCCATGAACATGAGGCAGTATCCTTATCCCTTGAAGTTCCCCCTGAAATCTGAACGGCTCCCACCATACTGATATTTCAAGGGCCTTAAAGACCTGACTCTTTACCCAGGCCTTTGGAGAGGATGACTGACACCCCTTTCTTCCTTTCTGCTCCCCTCTGGGTTTGTTTATTTATTTATTTGCCATTGTTATTCTTTTGGGCTGTTTTTGTGTTTTTTTGTATTCTTCATTTTTAAAAGTTTTAACAATTGTAAACCTCCCAGAGTCACTGGGAGTTGGGCGACATTTATTGTTGTTGTTGTTGTTGTTGTTGTTACATAGTTTCTTTCTAGGAAGTTACTTCTGCTTTCACAGAGCTCTACTCACCTCCTAGTATCTTTTTCTAGCTTATCAGTATTCCTTGGCCTCCTAGACGTTCTATAGCTGAGCTGACAGTGTAGTTTCCAGGGAAATGTTTTTGTAATGGGAGTAGCTGCTCAATTTTAAACCACATAGCTGAGTCAGTGCTTTTGTTTTCCCTGGGAACATGTATTTGAGTAAGGGACTTTTAAATTGATCCCCCAAATTCTCCTACAATAAATTAGTCTAGATCAGAGTGACTGGTGGTAGGTTTCCAGAATTTCAGGCAAGAATTTCTGATTAGCACCTGCAATAAGTTAGGGTGATGCCAGAATTACAACACATACACACTGATGTAATCATGCAAATGTAGATGCATGAATTGAATCTAGAATATTCTCTATGCAAAGTAAATGTTCTGTCATTGAGTTATGATAATGCTTGTTGCCTATTGGGAATTTTACCCCATAACAGAGATCTGCTTAGAAAGTCAAATGAGCCCCACCTTAACATTTCAAAACATTTGGGATAAACACATCATTTGTTGGATATGTAGTGGCTAGATAGAAGAAGAGGAGGAGGAGGAGAAGGATGGGGGCTAGCATTTTGTGGTTTAATGTTAACAGCCCAAAATAAAAGTTTAATTAAAGTGTAAACAACTTTGATTAATGACTTTGGGTACCTTCTTGTATTCCAAGTAAGAAGATGAATTGGATTAATTTAACGAATGACAAAAATCTGGCAACATTTGTAGATTTTACAAATATAAACAAAGAGAATGCTGGACACTGGCTAGTTATATGATGAGGTGTGAGAGCTAGTTTTGACAAAGTGAGCAGTAAACAGCCTAAAGTCTTTCTAATCTGTTACTCTAAAAAGGCAGGGTGGAAACCTAACCCCAAAAAGAGAGACCTCAAACCCATTGCACTATCTGGATGGGAGAAAAATCACAAACATTTGAATTTAGATTACAATATAAATAGAGTGTGCATTTAATATATACCAGTTTCAAGAATTCATTCATTACAATAATGGCATCACTCATTTTTCTAAAATCTGTTGATCAGAGATCTGCATCCTTGAATGCCTGTGCCTGCTTCCTGTTCTCACAATTTGAGTATTAGTCTTAATGAAAAAGGAATTATCAGTTTATTATTTATTAACAATATCTGTTTGCCTCAGTTCATAAAATACTTCAGAATAATTTACAAATATAATTTTTTAAAATCAATCCATAAAAATCAAAGTCTCAGTATAATAATAAGGAAGATATTAAACAAAGATAAAGTAATCCATTTTAATTTTTATAGGCTGGATGAAAAGGCCAATTTCAAAGAGAGTTTGTAGTATCAGGACTACAGTAGAGAAGGCTGTTCTTTTGTTGCAGGTCAACCTAGCCTCCAGTGAATTTACATATTATCACAATGAATATAAGATGTAGATGGATTTTTCAACTTGCCTTTTCACCTACACTAGTGGCTTTATAAACATTTTGATTCTTTGGCAACAGAAGATATATTTAGCCTACTTGAAATAATGAGATAAAGGCTATATCCTGAAAACAGAGTTTAAAATGTCAGCATCCATTGTTTTGAGAGAGTTGGTAAGTCTTGCAAGAAACATACAAGAACTAGTGAGATAATCTATATTTGGGGAAAAATATTGAATGATACATCAGTGTGATATTATGCAACATGTTATTTTATATGTCATCCTTTCATAAAACTATTACATAATTATCTTTCAAGAACAATTTTTGTCTCTATTTTATTTGTATTTTTCAAGACAAAACAAGGTACAATACTTTATTATGGTCATAGACCAGCTCAAAAAAAAAAAAAGGGGGGGAAACCCCTCAGTGTGCGACAGCAAATAAAAACTACAGTAAAACTCAATAATTATAAAACTGGTGTGGTTAAGGTGTGGTATATTTTACATATAGTAAGCTGTACTTTTTATAATTGTTATATTTGCTTTTAGTGTATGTATGTCTTTTACTTCATTATTATTTTTCCTGATTATACAGGAGGTCCTACCTGTTGCAGGTGTGGAAATGCAATTAACAGCAGCTGTTTCTCTTTTGACAATTCTGCAAGAGGAGTCAATATCCATCCATACTTATTCTCACTCATTCTTGCAACTCATTCTACAGAATTTGGAGCATAGAGATGCAGGTCAGAGGAATGCCATGTTGCTGATTTCTTAGTTTGCTATGCTTTTTCTTCTGATAATGTACTATTTAAAGCAATACATGCAGGAATAAAGTAAAATAATGATTACAAAATAGGTTTGCTAGTGCTATATCATTTATTTGATTAGCTTTTGCTTTCTTTCACCCTGACTTAAAATACATAAATTTCAATAATTTTGTGGAAGCTTCTGAGTAGATAGTACTGAGTAGGATTGTATTTAGATTAAAAGCGGATTAATTTTATAGGAGATTAGGTCTTCTGTTGGTTAAAAAAAATCAAATATATATTGGGGGCAAATGTACCTCCAGTGCTATGCACATAAAATTACTGGGTGTAAGTTATTAACCATATTATGCATAAATTAAGATGAATAATACTCCATATGTAATATAAAAACATACACAAATGGCATCTGGAGGCCATTTGTAGTTATACTGATTAAAAGTTACATCATTAAAATGCATATAACAATGCAATAATCATATATAATGTTTTAAAATATTTAATTACACTAATAGAAAAAACATACATATGATAGTATTAACAATACAGTAACATCAAAAATTTTAAAAAGGCCTAGAAAATACCTCATAGAACAACACTAAAAATAATTTGAACGTCCTGTTCCCTATACCTTTGTGAGAAAAAAAAATTATTAACAGACAATGCAACAGTCAACAATTCCTTGTTATCGAGCAGATGTGGAATTACATTTCCAATGTTTATAATTATTACTTTGACTGCTCCTCATCCCCATTTACACATCTCAATATCAAAAGCTCTTTGTATCCAAAGAGGCAATGGCTACATTTTGTCTATGCTGATTTAAAGCAAGTACATGAGTCAAGAATCTAATATAATTAGAACTCTGATGGCTAGGTATGAATCCAGCCTGAGCTGGATGCACAATAGTTGGAAGAACAATTTCAGCTAAGTTTCAGGCCAAGGTACAGTACAGAGATAGCACTGTGGATGGTCTCTGGCAGGATTGGGATAGGGGAAGTGCAACCCTCCTAGTTCTGTGTGATGTCTCATGTTTTTGAGGCCACCGGACATGCTATACTTCTGAACTATATCCAAGGAGTATTTTGTGGTGGTTTTCCTTCCTGAATAGATAGTTTCAGTTGATAGTGGTCGGGAGGTCAGATGGAGCTCAGTTGAGTGCGATAGGACTTGATTCCCTTCCTGCCCTTATGTAACATCTACGTGAAGTTGCTAAATGAGATCATTCTTCAGCTTAAGTTCATGTGTTATCAATATGCTGATGATACCCAATTCTGCATCTCATTCCTGGGTCAGGTTGAGATTTAATCCCAGCAAGACCAAATAGCTCTCCATCTTTAGTTGTAAATAGAATTGCACTCCTCCAGATCGGACTGGCTCACCGTTAGGAAGTCTTCTTAGATTCTCACATCTCTTGCTTAAGAAACAGATAACAGTTGTGACCAACAGATCTTTTGCACAGCTCAATCTTTTGCACTAATTGTGATCTTTCCTTGATTTTGTGTTACTGATTGTTATATTTACCTTATCTGTTTTTAACCCAAGTTACAGATTTCAGGAATTGTAAAACACTTAATTGTTTGGATTGGAGTGGCCTATAAACTTTGTAAATAAATGAACAAGTAATCTGTAATCCATGGGCCATAATATCTGTTACAATTGTAGCATTCACACTGCCCCCCTCACCCCAAATAGGTCTATAGTTGGAATACATACAGTGGGGCAAAAAGGTATTTAGTCAGCCACCAATTGTGCAAGTTCTCCCACTTAAAAAGATGAGAGAGGCCTGTAATTTTCATCATAGGTATACCTCAACTATGAGAGACAAAATGAGAAAAAAAATCCAGAAAATCACATTGTCTGATTTTTAAAGAATTTATTTGCAAATCATGGTGGAAAATAAGTATTTGGTCAATATCAAAAGTTCATCTCAATACTTTGTTATCCTACTACAGTGGGGCAAAAAAGTATTTAGTCAGCCACCAATTGTGCAAGTTCTCCCACTTAAAAAGATGAGAGAGGCCTGTAATTTTCATCATAGGTATACCTCAACTATGAGAGACAAAATGAGAAAAAAAATCCAGAAAATCACATTGTCTGATTTTTAAAGAATTTATTTGCAAATCATGGTGGAAAATAAGTATTTGGTCAATATCAAAAGTTCATCTCAATACTTTGTTATCCTACTACAGTGGGGCAAAAAAGTATTTAGTCAGCCACCAATTGTGCAAGTTCTCCCACTTAAAAAGATGAGAGAGGCCTGTAATTTTCATCATAGGTATACCTCAACTATGAGAGACAAAATGGGGAAAAAAATCCAGATTTTCTGGATTTTTTTCCCCATTTTGTCTCTCATAGTTGAGGTATACCTATGATGAAAATTACAGGCCTCTCTCATCTTTTTAAGTGGGAGAACTTGCACAATTGGTGGCTGACTAAATACTTTTTTGCCCCACTGTAGTAGGATCTTTATGCACTTTAGAAATACTGCAATGTTTGCCTCACTGAAGCTGAGGAATAGGCATCTCTTTGAAAATTCTTTACATATGCTTATAGTAAAATACAAAATAAGAACCTCAAATACTTTTTATCAGGATCAGTTGGAAAACGCTTGGAGCCTATCCCAATTTTATAGATTCAATTATTATTTATTTATATATATATATCACATTAGGATAGGATAGGATAGGATAATAACTTTATTGTCATTATATATACTAAGTACATAATAAAATGAAATTCCGTTGCAGTTGGCTCACAATCAGACACTAAAAGTACAATCAAGATATCGTAATTACTATAAAATATACATTCTATACACAATGACATTTACTCAATATAGCCACTCATCTCACACAAAGCAACTCTGGGTGGAGTACAACAATTGAATAAAATAACAAATAGATCAAAGCAATCATTATAAAAGATAAAAAAGTGATTATTAAAATGCAACATTATCAAAAAGTTTTAAAAATTTAAAATTTAAAATATACAAACCCCATGAAGAGAGCACTATATCAATCATAGTGGAGCCATCTAAAAATGTCTCTGGTTCCCAGAGACCCCCAGGCCTGATGACATAACCATGTCTTGAGGGACTTCTTAAATGACAGCAGGGAAGGGGTGAGCCTAACTTCAGGTGGGAGAATGTTCCACAAGGTGGGAGTCACAGCAGAGAAGGCCTGCCTCTTGGGACCCACCAAATGCATGTCCCACTGGAACACATAGCATATCTTCCCTGTCAGATGTAATGGGACAGGCTGATGTGATCAGGTGGAGGCAGTCCCTCAGATAACCCAGCCCGATGCCATGAAAAGCTTTAAAGGACAAAACCCACACCTTGAATTGGACTCAGAAGTAAACTGGCAGCCAATGCAGCTCGCGAAGCAAAAGTGTAACATGTGCTCTTCTAGGAGCAGACATAACTGCCAGAGCTGCCACATTCTGCACCAGTTGAAGCTTCCAGATGCTCTTCAAGGGAAGCCCCGTTACAAGAGAGTAAGCAGGCATACAATGGGGAATACACATCAAAAGGAATGCGGTGGCGCCAGCAGCCCAATGTATTCCCCATTGTGTGCCTGCTTATTCTCTTGTAATCCCTTCTTCAATCTCTCCTGTCTGCAAGTGGGGGAGGGAAGAAAAACAAACAGGTCAGGCCCAGGACAACACTTACTGACTGTAATGGTAATCACATGACTGAGGGACACTGCAAAGGTCGTAAATGCAGGCATTAGTCATAAAGTTGTTTTTTCAGCACTGGTATAACTTCGGTTGCTGAACAAGGCAGTTGGTAAGTGAGGTCTACCTGTGTTCCTAGGTAAGTTCAGTCTAGCCTTTTATTTCCAATTAAATTTGGTGAGATGTAGTTCCAGCCAAATTGCTACAGATTTGAACTGTTAAATTATATTTTAGCATATTCACTTCTATAATGTGTAACATATATTTGTTTTAGTGTTATTGTTGGCACTTAAGAACATTGTTAATTGAAGTCATAGTTTAAAATAGTTTTATAGGACAAGTATGTGATGTTTATATCTATAGTTCATTTGTACCTCACAGGTGTCAGTAATGCTTGGCTGGACACTCTCCTTGCTGCAATAGAAGCTCTTCCAAAAGAAACTATTAGACATGAGGTAATACTGTTTTCCCATGATATTAGTGGGTAGATAGATTGTGACTTACAGTTATGGTTCAGTTTCCATTTAGAATTAGATTTGACCTTCATGTTTTAGTATATGAAAGCTTTTACCCATTGTTTTAGTTACAATGATCTCCAGAATTTGGAATTTGCTTGTAAATTTTCAGGGTAGGGAGAAAATATTTGACTGCCATCAAGAAGAACAAAAATATATGGAAATCTTTCCCTGTGCTTTATGAATGTTGAGAATAAAGAGTAAATAACTATAAGATATAAGTTATAAGAATTTAGATGAGTATTACTCAAACTTGTAACTTATTAAAATATACTTTTATATTTCTTTTTTTCTTATCTTGAAGTATTAAGTAAGCAAATTTCCTAATATTTATTGTAGATAGAAGTGGAATGTGCCATGTTATATTGGATGCCTAGCAGAAATGAAAAATATTGCCGTATTGTATATCCTAATTTCTCAAATTAGGAAACCCCTTTTTGCAGCTCCAAAGAATGTCTTTGAATTAATTTTCAGTTGCAGCATGACTATAATTCTTCATGATATTTAGACCTGGAGAAGGTATTCTATGAAAGATTTTTCCAAAAGTTAATAAGAATTGGACAGGAGGAAAAAATTGTTGTAGGAGACATGAATGGAGTGCTAGATCCATGCTTAGACAAATAATCTCAAGGGGGAAAAAAGGTGGACAGCTCCCAAGAAAGGTTTTTTAGTATGTCAATATATTGGCTTTGACTAATGCTTGGAGATTAAATTTCAGCATTTTTTTTTAGAATGGCGACTAGGTTGGTAGGTCTTGTAGCTGTGGGATTTTTATGTAGTTTTAGGATGTGATGGAGGTTAGGGTTAGGTTTTAAGGTTTGGATGTTGTTTTTTTGGAGGATCCCCCTGATCATCTTTCCAGGAGTCTGATGGTTGTGGCTTTGGTGCTGGTGGTTTTGGACTCTTAATGGAAAGGGACTGTTGGGACCTTGGCCTGGCTCCCCAGTTGCCTTTGACAGACGGGACTGCTCTTGGAACGTGTGCTGGTTACTGGGTGTCCAAGGAGAGGCAACTATGTTGAAGCTGGAATGGAGAGTGCTGATAGTGCAGCAGTGCTGCAATTGGAACTACCGCTCAGCTGAGGACTTGCATGGCTGCCGAGCAGCTGTTTGGTGGAGTGCTATCTGTGGTGGCACCACAGCAGTACCTTTCATTCAACATCTTTTGGGGCTGAACATGTGGTGAAGTCTGCAGCGGTGAGGAGCAGCAGTGACTGGGCTGGAGCTGGCAGTGTGGGAAAGGCAGCAGCACTGTGAGAGGAGCTGCTAGCCAGCCATTGGGGAAGGCTTTCACATGGCTGCTTATTCATGCACCTTGTATGGAGGCCCTGAAGAAGATTCTCCACCATGTGGATGGCCTATTATTCAGCCTGAGGTGATTGGCTTCCATGATGACTGGCGGGTGAGCAATTTGGCTTGTCTCAGTTGGCCCTTGGTCACTTGGAAGGGTGAAGATAGACAAGGCTGCCATCGATTGGTTCGAATGGAAGCTGGCTGGAAGGTTTCAGCGGACTCCAGCCGGTGTTCTGTGGCTGCAGTGACGGACCTGGACTGTGGGAGCCATCTTGCCACTTTGGTGCCTTTGTGTCTAGAAGGGGAAGGCAGCCATTGCATCTCTTCCAAGTCCCAAAGGGATCTGATACAACCGATGTGGCCAGAGCCGCTGGGACCAACAAGGCTGCAGGAATTTGCAGCTCTTTGAAGGCTAGGAGGAGCTGAAACTGAAGTGGGGAGGGGGATTGTAATGGGGGTGAAGATGAATTGGAGGCTACAGTGTTGGGGAAAGGTCTGGGACTTGAGCCATTACTTTTTCTCCCTGGGTGGGAGACGGAAGGGGGAGTAGTGGCTTGTCTTAGCCTGGTGAGGTTGTAGTTGGTCCCCCCTGCTTCTGGTGAGAGCAGAGGGAGGGTGGTATCTGAGATTTTGGATGAGTGGACAGGTGGCTAGTTCAGGGGCCCTAAGTGCGTGGTCGTAAGTGCCCTGGGACCAACCTACCAGCTGTGTGGAAAGATTTACAGGTGGTTGTATATGGAACCCTTGGTGACTGGGGGGGGGGGCAGAAGGCAAGGGGAGGGGGCAGTCAGGGGAGCCAGAGATGGGATAGGACTACATTGGTGACAGACAAAGGGAGATATGGAGGGAGGCAAAGGGCGGGCTGCACACAGGGAGTATAGAAGCAATGTCTTGTATCTATCCTGTGCTCCAGCCTCCTGCCTACATCCCTGGTTAGCAGTTAGTATGCTGGTGATGCTGGACACTGGCTGGTGTTGCTTAATGTCAGGTTGGCCTCTAATAAAGCCCACCTCATCTGAGATCTGATCCCAGATGAGAGGGCTGACCTGGTGTGTATTACCTAGATCTGGCTGAGCAAAGAGGATGGAATGCCCCTCTCTGAAATGTGTCCCAATGTACAACAGGCCCCAATTCTTCTCACCTTTAGGAAAGCTGTTAAGACCTGGCTCTTCCTTCATGCGATAGGGGCCAGTTGAACGGGAGTTTCCCTGTGATTATTTTGTTGTATGCTTGGTCACCATTTTATATTTTGTATTTATATATTGTCTGTTTATTGTTACATGGTTTCCTTTGTTTTTTCTTCTTTTTGATATGTTTATGTCGTATGCTGCCCAAAGTCAAACTGTTTGAGTTGGGCAGCCTTATAAATCTTAAAAGTGAATAAATTAATTAATTTTTAAAAATCCAAAACCAAGAGAGTAAATTTTTTTTCAGCAAAACACCAAACGTATTCAAGAATTGATACGTGCTAGATTTCAGACTCTCACACCATCTTTCAAAGAAGTACAGATTTCCTCAGTGACATATGCAGATCATGCTCCAATTTTAATATCTTGGTTTCAGAAGTTACTTCTAGATGGAGGATGAATGGTATGATGCTACTTAAAGAAAATGTACTGCATAAATGTGAAGAAGAATTATTTTAAAAAAAATAAACATGACACAGGGATGTCAGAGACAACTATATGGAAACCAGTAAAGCTTATTTGAGAGGAATCTTAATAAGGCTTGCAGCAAATCAGAAAAAAAGAACATAATAGAGGGCAATCACAATTAGAACAGTAAATAAAGGAATTAGAACAGATTCATAAAACCAATCCAGATTGACAAGCACTGAAAGTGTTAAATAAAAGTAAGCAACATTTAGATTTATTAGAAGTGGCAGAACTTCAAAAGATAAAATATGACTTCTGGCATATCAAATCAGAAAAAAAAGAAGGCTGGTTGAGACAGAAAGAAGGCTATAGAGAGAGAAAGCAAACTTATTATATATAAGATTGGTAATAACAGAAGAACTTACATTTTTTAAGGAATTATATTCCAGGCATAAAACTGACAAATGAAATTTAAAAACATATATTATAAACTCAGAGCTTAAAAAATTTACTAAAGAATGTGGACAAATCTTAAGCAAATTAATAAGAATTTAAGAGATTAAAGAAGCAGTAAAGAAAATTAAAATTAGTAAATTGCCAGGCCCAGAAGTGCTGATGGCTCTGTTACAAAAAGGTAGAAGAGGAACTAGTGGAACTCCTATTGAAAACGATGAATGAAAGGCAAACAAGAAAAACAATACCGAAGACTTGGGAAGAGGCATATGTAATGTTAATACACAAAGAAGGGAAATAACTCAAAGAAACCTCAGCCATATGGGCCAATTTCTTTACTGAATGGCAATTACATATTAGCCTTGCCTATCAATCAAGCAGTAAACATATGCTAATCAAAGAACTTCCAGAGGAGCAAAACAAAACCCCCACCCCCACCAGCACTGGCAAGGCAGGCCACAGGACATAAATAGAGAGCAAACCACATCCCATTTTATCACTGAAGATGTTACCTAGCCAGGTAATGAAATGTTTGCAAGAAAAGAACCAAGCTCAGAGAACCTCAAGGACTCCACAGTATGAAGAAGTGCATTCCCGAAACTATACATGCAGATCAGACAGTTACATTCCAAAAAGGAAAATGAAAGATAACAGCAGATTTATTATAATGCACTAGAATTCATCAACGTTAACAAAAGGAAAGTAGCCGTAATATTTTTAGACATGGAAAAAGCCTTTGATGATTTGGAATGGACTTTCTTTTTTTTTTTTACCAGAGGTCTTAAACAAATGAGTCCTGGAGAATTCAAAACTTGGGTGGAAAGCACATATCAACAACAAAGATTAGTGAATGGAACAATACTTAGAATTCTTATACCAAGAATAAGATTCAAACTTTTACAGGACTTAAAGGACTTTTACCATTGTTCTGGATCCCAGAGTATGAATTTTGAATTTATCTTAGTGGTTTTACCAACTTGACTTTTATGCTACAGATTATATTTTTCTGACATGGAAAAATTTTATAAATTGTATCAAATGTAGCCTATAATTTCAAGTATAGTGTGAGTCTTGCTGCAAGGATGATTTGGAAAGCTGATATTAATAGAAGTTTTAGCATGCAAAGTAGTTCTTAATGCATATTTTTGTTGCTTTACTTTTATTTCTCTATTTTTAGAATTGTCTGAATTTCTTCTCTGTTCTCCTATAGATCCTGAACCCTCTTGTTTCCAAGGCACAGCTTTCTCAAACACTTCAGTCTCGCCTGGTTAGTTGTAAAATCTTGGGGAAATTAGCTAACAAGTTTGAAGCTCATATGTGAGTAGCTTGTGTGTGTTTCAGATGTCCTAATGAATAAGTGGTCTACAAAGGAAACAAGGTGACCTCGTTTTGCTGCTGTAGAAAAGAATGCTATTTTCAGCTATTGACAAACTGTATATTATGCAGTGTTCTTAAGACACAATCCATGAAGCTCTGTTGGTGAGCAGCATCTTTTTCTCTAAATGGGAATAACTGAGCCTACAGAGCAAGTGTAGGTCCTGAATTATATCCTTTATAAAAGGATAAGTATTTCCTACCACTTCAGCTACAATCTTTGTCCTCCACAGTGTCATTTCAGCAAATTTTATTCCTATTTCCATGATTTGCCTTACTAGCTGCCATTTTAGCTTTTTTATGTTGTTTTGTTTGGAATTGTTTCTAAATTTGTTGTCACGACTGGTATACCATGTCAGATAATGTGGGATATACAATGTTTGCATCCCATACAGAATGAAAGCAATTTCAGTAACAGTCAACTTCATTTTTGTTCAGAAGTACCACCTTGTTTGCTCCTATAAAGGTACTGGATTTGTTTGCCTGTCTTTTAGTTTCAAAGAATCAAATAATGATGGTATAACTCAGAATACAATTTATATTAGGCTTGAGATTTATTAATGTTCAAGGTGGGTTCATTGTGATATTGTTCATTTTCTTCAGAACTTGTATTGCTGTGTTAATAGACTTATGGTATGTTCCATTTTGGATATTTTATGGGGATATGGCAGATATTAAAAATAAGCTTAACGAATGGATCTTGAACACATTTTCTTCTTTTTGGCTAGATATGAATTTATTTTATTTTTACCTTGCTATGGAGACAGCCTCACCCCCATTTTTTGAGAACTCTCAGGTGAATAGCCTGGGAATAAAGGCAAAGTGCCCATCCATTTTTTTTTTTTTACCAGTGATAGTCTATATAACCTAAATGACTAGATTTCTTGACTCCTCCCTTTTTTTTTCCTTGTGTGCCCAAGGGAAAGAAGAAAATATGGCTCAAATATGATTTGACTTCAGGATGATGCCAAGTTGCCAGTCAGATTTTGCTTTGTGATGATACCATGAAAGCAGAGTCCAAAGAATGCTTGCCTTCATCCTGATGCCAATGAAAAGAAAGCCATGAACAGACAGCAAATGAGGGAGAACAAAGCGAGCCATAAAGAAACAGGTTTTCAAAATATATTTTGTCTTCCCAAGAATCTTCTGTTGGTTCCAAAACAAATGGTATGTTTGAAAGCATTTAGTTCAACACTTAGTAATACCTTGATTTTCTAGAAGATTTTGTTCAGATCAGTCTGGACTGAAAAGATGCAGTTCAGGTTGTATCTTTTCTGTTGCCTGTTTGCAAATTTAGAATTTTTTATGTGTTTCCTATTTATTTAACTACTTATACAGTGGGGCAAAAAAGTATTTAGTCAGCCACCAATTGTGCAAGTTCTCCCACTTAAAAAGATGAGAGAGGCCTGTAATTTTCATCATAGGTATACCTCAACTATGAGAGACAAAATGAGAAAAAAAATCCAGAAATCCACTCGTTACCTGTAGTAATGGCACCTGTTTGACCTTGTTATCAGTATAAAAGACACCTGTCCACAACCTCAGTCACACTCTGAACTCCATTATGGCCAAGACCAAAGAGCTGTTGAAGGACACCAGAAACAAAATTGTAGACCTGCACCAGGCTGGGAAGACTGAATCTGCAATAGGCAAGCAGCTTGGTGTGAAGAAATCAACTGTGGGAGCAATAATTAGAAAATGGAAGACATACAAGACCACTGATAATCTCCCTTGATCTGGGGCTTCATGCAAGATATCA